GTTCCTTGCAAATCCGACCGGCAAAAGGCCCAGTGGACGGCCAAGATTAACATGGTGCAAACATATGGAAGGAATCTGTTCCATTCTGCATTTGTCTTTTGCCGAAGCTCAGACTCTGGCACAGGATCGTCAACGTTGGAAGCACTGTCTGACGTGTCTGCCTCCGCGACCCGAAAGGAGAAGCGGCGATGGAAGATGAATGAATGAATAACAGTATTTTGGCGATGTCGTCGCAGAGTGAAAATGAGTACTCAAATTTGAGATAGCCTAATGGAACGGGATGTTCCTGAGAAGCTCCGATGAGAAGAATTCTCATCATGAGGGTAGAACTGCCCGGTTGTGTTAGCGAAGCCCTGGAAATCGGGACTGAGCATCTTTCCTTGTTTTGTAAAGGCACTTTTGTCCAGGACATAAACACCCTGATCACAAACTCTGACGCAGTCATTACACTTAATCAGATTATGAGGAAAGAGTTAAACATTTGAACAATAAAGAGGAACGTATTTATTTGCCAGTTACATCACCATAAGCCGAAAAATCTCTTGTTAAATCATTACCAATAGCACCGTGTTTCGGTAAGTCACAAGCCAGATAACACCATGCAAAATTTTTAATTAATATCATGAAAAGTATTTGACGTTTTCGGCTAACCTCGGCACGTCCTCAGAGAAACAATGAATTTTTTTACACAGCATCATTTCTGTGCACATAGCGTTGACTGTTGCGTGGCAACCTAGCAAGATACTGTGAATAGGGGAAACAAGAGAGAAAGGAAGCCGCCATAACGCGGCAAAGTAAACAGAGGAGAAGCTATACATGCGATTATCTCAGCCTAGTCCCTGCTGCCACCCCATTTGCACTCCAGGGTCTGACCTTGTGTATAATTTTAGGTTCCCTGCGCTTTGTTTTAAAATAAATTTGTGATCGTATACTTCGACGAAACTGCTAAGGTTCTGGCGTCTAACTCAAGCCATGAATCCGGTTCCAACGGTGCTCATCGTCTAAACGGGAACAAATACACGAAACTCTGTGGTTGCTGCACATGTTTCACCACCATCAGATGCAGGAATGTTGCACATCTAGCTCCGGATTGGACAGTGGGTGCGCACTCGTCAATCGGTTGTAATTTTTCTTAAATATTAATTAAATAAACGTATATGTTTACTTCTGTACATAAATTCTGTACGGAATTTGAGTTCAGACCAATGCCTCAATCCTTAATTGTTTGAAACTTCCTCAGAAGACTACGTCCATATTAATGAACCGCCAATATCCTCTAAACGTCATTCTAATTCAGTGCCACTGTTTGAAGCAAGAAGTTTTTTTTTGGAAGGGATGTCATCCAAACCAACAGTTA